GATTTCTATAGAAAGAATAATTTTCAATAATTTTTTGTATTTGTATTTTTCCCTTATAACAGTTTTTAAAAAAATGAATAAAAAGTGTTGAAAATTTGAATTTTTTTTCATATTTTCCTAGTTATAAGTAAATAATTTTTTATATTGCTTACTGCTATTTAGTGTTAAATAAATAAAATTAAAAAACATGGTATATTTAATATAGTTGTGTGGTCTGGCCTGAAAGAAAACTGAATTTTTAATCTATTATTTCACATTCAGCAGTTATTGAGTCTTAATGTCTTGTCAGTTATACAATGGAAGGGTCGAGGGGGAACCATTGTTGGGCTGTGCTTAGGGCATCAATTGGCCTTAATCTGGCCCTGACTGAAAGTGATAATCGACCATGCTATCAGGAAAAAGAGGTCACGGGGTTACGTTGTCCACTAGACTAAGAAAACAAGTTTACATTATAGAATTGAGCACGCTATCTTGGTTCAGAATTTCACCAGACGATCGACGAAAAAGATGTACCATCTAGAAGATTTGAATGTTTAGTTTTGCAGACATCGATCTTGAGATAAAGTAGACTGGAAAATTAAGCCCTAACCATCTAGTGGAAGAGAACTGTTCCATAGTCTGCGAAGATACACAAGCTGTTTCGGTGATTTCAATTTATCAATAGAATAAGGATTTTTAGTCATGTTATAAATAAAGTTCTCTGGCCTCATAATTCTATTCTTAAAGAGAAACACTCGATCAGTCATCTTCTTACAAACACTCTCAATAGTTCTGGACGAATCTGCTGTTATTGTGGATCCATCTATCTGTCACTTCTAGGGAAATCTAAGTGTAGCAGCAGCTTATATACACTTGACTTGTGTCGCTTTTCCATGCAGATATCTTTCTTAATTATGTTTTGTAAAGCTGCCTGTGGCACGTAGATGTCTTTGCCACTGATTTTTGTGTTCGTGGATTCTCACCTGTTACAAGTCGCTGCGCTTTACTTACTGCGGTTGGGGTATGACTTGTTGCAGGTCTCTCTCAAGTTGATTTTAATGCTTCAAGTTGACCCACATTCTTTTGTTTCCAATTTCCATTAAAATATAAGGGATATTCCAGTCTTTTATTTTCTAAATCTCCAATCTGAAAACATCCTTGTCATTTGAATGTATAAAAACTTTGCATTGGAAAGACCTGTTATATACCCTTCCCAGAAGATATACTTTCGATGACATCACACTACCTATGCAACACCAAACAATGACAGTCGAAATGTCGTTCTGATACATTCCGCCGCGCTGTATACCAGCTGTGGTTGTCTCGTGGGTTCCTGACTTACGTATTCAAAATCATTTTTAATATAACGTACTCATACCTTCTGTATTAACAGCATTTTACAATAATTGTGGTTGTACTGACTACATTTTGAAATTATTTGATACATCTATACAATAAAAAATAATAATTTAGGGATATCGTGATTTATTTGTTTGTTCTAAATTTCATGCGAAACTACGAAAGTGTTATCTATGCTAGCACATCCATAATATAGGAGGAAATCAGTCAGTCAACACCACCCAGCGCCAACGCTTAGTTTACTTTTTTAACAACAAATAGTGGGATTGACCGTCACATTATACCCCCCCTCATCCACAGCTGAAAGAGCGAGTATGTTTGGGGGAAAGATTCGAACCCGCGACCTTCAGATTGCAAGTCAAGCACCTTAACCGCCAGGTCATTAAAACATAACACAAAAATTATCACGTAACTTCCAACTAAATGACTAAAAATAAATATTTCTATCAAACTGTTTACATTACATTGTTTGGACTAAATTCATTGTCCTTAATCATTTTATACAGTTACAAAAATATGTAATATTTTTGCCGTAGGAAGCAATTTTGGAATGGTCAGGCCATTGCCACAGCTAAACAATGTGACACACGATGTGTGTAAAGCATGCCATTTCTAGAGCGGTCCAGGCCATGCCCCTAGAAATTTTTTAAAACTTTAATGCTATAAGATTGAATCTTGAGCCATTTTAACTACAAGTACTGCTTGCAGACAACGTAATGTATTGAATTAAAAGAAGCAAGTTTTAATACATAAGTTGCAGCTGTACATGCAATGAAAAAGTAGTCAGGCCATGGTCTTACCGTTTCCTGCGGCGCTATATATAATAAAAAAAAAAAGTCCGTAGCTCGTGCCTCGTTACTGCCAAAAACATTGCACTTCGCACTTTGGGACCATAGGTGAGTTATAAGGATGACCAAATCCCACACTGTTCGATTAGATCAACCCGCGAGATGACGGTGGGTAGTGTTGACAAGCTACCTTCCCTTTAGTTCCTCACTTCAAAATTAGAGACGGTTAGTGCTGTTAGCACTCGAGCTTTGCGCAAAATTCAACAAACAGCAATAAAAATAAGTTATATTGATATATTTTAAATTCAAATTTTTAAAAATTATGAGTTTAGTAAAAATATAAGCTGTGTTGGTAAGTTATTAAATTATTATTGTTTTTTGCTTTTTGAAAATATTAGTTTATATTTATATATTCAGTGGTAAAAAATAAGCTTCGCGAACTTATCGATATAATGTACAGGCCGATCGAAACATATCTGTATTAAAACTTTTTAGGTTTCACCATAACACACTTAAAATACTTTTTCTGAACTGGAATGGTGTCATATTTTGTGATTGAAGTTATATACACAGATTAAACATTTTAGAGGTTTCATAATATTTGGAATCCGCACAACGTTGGGAGTTAAATGCAATAAAATAAAATCACTGTAATAACACAGCGTTGAAAGAGAAACATATTTATATTATATAGCAACCCCTCAGTGGCACAGTGGTATGTCTGCGGACTTACAACGCTATAAACCCGATTTCGATACCCGTGGTGGGCAGAGCACAGATAGCCCATTGTGTAACTTTGTGCTTAATTTCAAACAAAAACAAACATTATTTAGCCTGACGAAGAGCATTTGCTCGAAACATCACTAGATAAAATAAAAGCGTTTATGCTTCAAAGTTGTATATTACAATTATTTTATTTGTTTATTTTTAGCTAAGCACAAAGCTGCACGATGAGCTATCTGTGCTGTGCTCACGGCAGGTTTCGAAACCTGGTTTCTAGCGTTGTAAGTCTGCAGACATACCGATGTGCTTGTACATTACTACTCATTATTCCAGTTTTTAACTTTATCGAAGAAACTAAAACACTAGTTATTTATATTAGTGAGCTGGTGTTCCTAACTATGGATTTCTTGGAACCCCATGAATTATTTTTATAGAATAAAAACATTGTTAACTTGTTAACAATAGATCTAAAATAATTTGTCCTCGCCACAAAATAACCTAAAAATCAAAATGTTTTAAAGAAGTTGTGGATTCGAAAAAATTGTCTGAAAATCAACAGTAGGTTTATTTGTGTGTAAAATTCTTTTATAACATGTTGAATTTTACCCACAAATAAGACTACAGTTAATTTTCAGATCTTCTTTCTTAATTCGCAACTTCTTTCAAACTAAAGACATTCAGCTCACTCTAAATTGTATTATTTTTCATTTTAATTTTTATAAAATTAAATATTATGTTCTTTACAGGAATAGTTAATATTTCTTATATGGACCCAACTATATTTTTAGTATAATTTTTAAAATGTTTTATTGACTTATGTATACTGTGGATATTCTAAAGTTAGACTGTTTTTTGGTTGTTTTTTAATAGCATAAAAAGAGTAAGTAAAATGTTACGTTACGACTTCTGATTATACCAAGGTCCTTTACTTGAACTTTTTAACACTAGGCGGCTTAATTGAGCGTCACTGAGAAATGGCGTTTAGTAAAACTAACGATTATTGAAAATCAAATCTGGTAAGATGCACTAGGATTTGTTGAATAATATTGGGGAAAAAAGTCATAACTCGCATTTAATTTTTCAATTATTTGTAGGCTAACCAGAATATAGTTTCAAAGAGACAACATTTTAGATATGCCTTGTTTCTGTGCTATATGTATTAATACGATTATTTAGTGTGCACAAACAGGTTAGACAACAATAATGAGTGTAGGCTAGTAAATTGAGTAGTATATTGTGATGTTGCTCAACCAGTGGAATTCCAAATATTTCTGCAACACCACAGTCAGCAAACAAAATAAGTTAACCTTAGTGATTCTATTTCGTTTGTATTAATTTATATCGAACTAACGGTTAGTTGAAATTTTTGAAACTTTAAAATTCATTATATAATTTATAATACAACTTGGTTTATCACCACTGACACCAGAGAAACTGATGATAACCAATTGTCAAACATGTCAGCTCATTCGGATTTCCCATGATTCTCACAGAGTTAATGTCCATTGCATAGTCTCACTTAAATGTGTTATAAAATCACAAAAATTAACTAATTCACTTCAGCTATTGTTGGGGCCACTTGCTTTTAGGATATACCATAGTTAAAGGAATGAAAATAATTTTGATTATGCAGACCCACTGTATGTAAGTCTTTCACCATGATGCAGTCTAATCATAATGATAAAATATCTTTATTAAGATACTGCCCATTGCAATTACAGAGATTTCAATTTTTATGTACAGAAACGAATGAAACAGCATCTCCAAAACTAGCAGTGAGAGGGACCCAGAAGCAGAGCCTTGAGGTCCAGGAGGTGAAGCCTCGGATACTATTTAGTTTTAAGCATTTTTGGAAGTAAAAAAAAATGGTCTCCTTGCAAGATACTGCTGTTCATTTGGACACAAGTAATAAATTATTTCAAAAGGTGGATGTAAGTAATATATCATTATATATCTAAGAGTACAAAAATGCTATCCGTTTACTCATTGAATTATACAAAATAAGCATCCAATGATTGGTGAAATTATAAAATTCATTAACATATATTCCACCCTATATATATCATACAAAGAAATTACTTGAAATATACCATAGTACAGCTGTGCTGACTATTTGAGAATGCATGATCTGTGATGAAGTTGACAAACCAAAAGGTTAATAGAAAATTCTAGTTTCATCATTATTTACTGCTCTCACCAGTTTCATTCAAACATTTGATGTGCAATTAATTCAGCAATTTAGTAATACCTTATACAGGTAATTTGTCAACAAAGTGAGAATGTATGCCATACACATATTTATTGTTTAAAATTCTTAAATATATCTTTGTGCTATATTCAGTATAACTGTACAGTAATATTCATCCCTTATAACAGAAAACAAGAGGGAATCCTCAGGAGTAGTGGCACTTGAAATTCTTTTAGGCAGTATTAGAGTAAATTAATCTGTGATACCTTTTTTTTTTTATTAGCTATATTTTTTGTGTGCCAGCAATACCAATGTGGGGCACGTGTATACCCGATTTAATTTTATTACTCATCAGAATCTCTACCAGCCTACCCTCAAATGAAATTCGTTTAGGCAGGATTACAATAAATTAATCTATGAGACCTTGGGCAAATACATCAGTCAAAAGGGTTTGATAATAATGAAAGTCTTCCGGATATTTCTAAAAAATCCTGAAAACCTCCGGTTTTCTTCCGGAGAAACACATTTTTTAAAATCATTTATCGGATTTGGGTGTTCCATGCCATAGATAAATGTTTATGCAATTGCGCAGTTTGTTTACATTCGGCGAATGAGTTTGATTTTATAATAATTATATGTCTGATTTATTTTTAGCAATGTTTTAATAATGAATCTATTCAACTTCATAATAGTGTGAACTG